CAATAGTGAAGACTACGTTGGTTTGGACTTTCCGATCCTTCTTGTCTATCCCTCATCTACGTTCCCTCTTTTTGCGTTCCCAATAAACCTTGGCATACTACGTGACTTGTTGCGTGTTTGAAGACTGTTATTGATGATGCCAGATCGGAAGTGTGATCCTAATGATGCACAAACTGGACAGAGTATTGCGGTTCCCGACGTCCCACCCCAGACTACCCAAATAGACGCAGGCGGACCCTCGGACATCGAACCCCTCGCGAGGTCGGACGCTACATTATGTTTACGATTGAACTGTGACCCAATCACATTTTAAATTCCTGCAATTTTATTTTATTTTTGAGTATGAATCTGCGAAAGCACTGTACATAAATAGGGTCATATAGGGCTCTGCCTGTAACCCTTCAATATATACATATACATTGGTATTAATGTGCATGAAAGCCCAGCTCATTGTAGTTACCAATAACGGCATGTGACGAGCACGAAACCGTCGGCTTTCATTCTTCGTCTCCCACACCCGCCGTCCACAATCTCCAAGTAGCGTCTGCTGGTAGTACCAACAATTTGGAGGTGCAGCTCGACGATGTCTTCAGTCATGCTCTTTCAAGGCATCTCCAGCGGCCTCAGGGCGACGTTCCCAACCGACAGTAGAGGCCACTGCTGTTGGAAGGGTCGCCAATCTTCACACTCGCCGTCCATTTCTCTGGAACCTCATCACTGACGCCAAATTTCTTGTTGACTCTGTTGCCGAGGTTAGCGCGGTTTCACCAACACCAGCCGAACGCAAACACCGCAGCTCTTTTTGTCTAACCTCTGCCAACAACCCCAGCATCCCCAGCTTTGGACAGCGCTCCGTCACACTTGATTTTCGCCTTCGTCGGATTTCCCAATGGATTTTCATTATTGCCGTCGTCTTCGTCGCTCTCATAGATGCCGATTTTCTAGCTCACTTCAGTCCAGCAGTTGATTTGAGGAATAGGCGACTCGTCGACTGCATCACCAACCTCCATACTCGTCAATACGATGTGAGTCCCTGCGTCAAAACTCTCACTGTCATATCCATCGCTGACTGTCCTTTCTGCTCACTATTCAGGCACTTCCTCCACCTGACCAATCCCTCATTTCGTGAAGCGGACATCAAACACACGGTCACCCACCACATTTCTACCACTGGACCTACCAAGTCTTTCCGACGACGTCGTCTAGCTTCGGACCGTTTGAAGATTGCCAAAGCTTGAGCTCGGCATCATCCGAGAGTCCCTCAGCTGGTGGGCGTCATCCCCCCATCTTGTCCTAAAGAAGAACGACGACTGGCGACCGTGATGTGACTATCGGGCGTTGAACTCAGGGACAATCCCCGACCAGTATGCCGTCTCGCACATCCAAGACTTCACTCTTTCGTTGCATGTTAGGCAGATATTCTGCAAGATGAATCTTGTTAGTGCCTACCACCAAATACCAATCGAGACCAGTGATGTTCCGAAAACTGCAATGACTACTCCCTTTGGGTTCTTCGAATTCACTCGTATGCCCTTTGGTCTGAGGAACGCCACTTCCAGACGTTTAGTGCTCAGGTGTTTCGAGGTCTTGACTTCATCTACGCCTCCATTGATGATTTTCTGGTGGCTAGTTCAGACGCTGCTGAACACGAGGTTCATCTTCGACAAATCTTCGAACGGCTCCACTCCTTCGGCGTTGTAATCAATGCTGCTAAATGTGAGTTTGGAGTCTCTAGCCTAATCTTCCTGGGTCACGAAGTGCACTCTGATGGGATGATGCTCGTCCCAGAAAAGGATTCGGCCATATCAACGCTCCCCGTCCCAAAAACCATCAACCAACTACGCCGCCTCTTGGAGATGGCGAACTACTAGCACCGTTTTCTTCCTCATGGTGCCATCATACTGCACCCACTCAACAGCTTGTTGGCTCACTCCAAAAAGAAACTGGTAATGAATGAGGAAGCTGTCAAGTCCTTCGATGACGTCAAGACCGCACTTGTGAGTGCAACGCTGTTTGCCTATCCCCGCGCTGATGCTCAACTTACTCCCATGACAGACGCTTCCGGCACTGCCGTTGGTGCATCACTTCAGAAAACTGTTAATGGTTTTCTACAGCCTCTGGCTTTCTTCTCGAACAACCTCAGCATAGCAGAGACCCACTACAGTGCCATCGGCCACGAATTCTTTGCCGTCTACTTATCCATCCGGCACTTCCAACATTTCCTTGAGGGTCGCGAATTTGTTGTTCTAACAGGCCGTAAGCCACTCGTTTTTGCACTGAGGGTCTCTCCCAATCGATATTTGCCCCGTGAAATTCATCATCTGGATTTCGTCTCACAGTTCTCCTGCGACATCCAAAATGTTCATGGTAAGTAAAATGTGGTTGCTGATGCTCTGTAACTAATCGAGATGGCTTCCGTCAAAACAGACGCTATAGACTTCACGCCCATGGCTGAGGCTCAACGATCGGACGGTGAACTCTCCCAATACCGCCACGAGGACTCTACTTTACGCCTTCAAGATGTCCCCCTTCCCACTGGCACTGGCACGATAACGTGTGACCTTTCTACCGGACACGAACTTCCTTTTGTCCATGCAATTTTACGACGACAAGTGTTCAAAGCTCTTCACAATAAATTTTTAAAATAAATTTATTTAATTTAATGCCAGTTTACAGGCATTGTCAAGGGAAGCGATTTAACACAAATCCGACCAGCAGTGACGAAAAAAACTCCTGAGCTTAAGGCATAAAAATATAGTTGATGGTGGTTTTTGTGGTCTGGAGGGCTCAGGAGAAAAAACCTGTCGGCGGTGGTAGAATATCGACCGTCAAGAAGGGGGGAGGTTGCACGGTATCGGAGATTATCGGACGTCAAATTCCTTTC